GCTGGAGTCTGCTCTGCTGCTGCTGGGTCTGACAGAAAACCTGCAGCCACAGCGGCCCTTTCTGGACCGGTTTGGACACCTGTGTGACCCAGCTGCTGTATTTTGGACGAGCTGCGAGATTTTCATAGAGGACATGCTGCCAACAGGGCGTTACAGTGGTCAAGCCTGAGGTGACAAATGCCTTTTTCTGCATCACTTTCAGGAAGGATATTCTTAATTGTTGCTATGTTGGGGAGGTAGAAATATTCTGTTGTATGCGCTTGGTTTTTATGTGCCCTGAAGAAAAGATAATCGATTTTTATTGTACCTTTAAAACAAGACACTCTTGCTTGACCTTTTGTAAATATTGTGCAACTTGAATTCAGCTTGTTCTTTCCTAAACTTTTCTTTGTCTCAGTAGTTTACAGTCTTGTAAAAGTCAAATGTTGTGATCAAGTCAGACCTCTAAACGCTGTCTTATTAGAAAACATGTTGTCATTTGTAGATTCCTGTGCGTCACTTGACATTTTGAGCTGAGAGTGAGGGTGGTCCTTTAGGTTTTTTTTACTTTTCCGTCTAAAGAAACAAAATTAAAAACTATCTCAGAGGCCACGAGTACTGTACATGAATGTGAAAACTATAATACAAGCTGTTCTGAGAGCGAGGAACTTGTTAGAATGAATTTATCACATAGTTTCAACAATATTTACGGACATTGGTCATCTGCCTCTTATGAACCAATGGCTCTATGTGTGTTTTCTTGAGTTTGAGACGGTTTGATTCTCTCATCTGTGTTGGCGAATTCAACGGTTTTGTTTTGTCCTCTGTGATAACTACTATTGTGATCTAGGGCTATACAAGAAAACATTGAATTGAATTGAATTACACATTTGTGGTTTTGAAAGATTCACTTGTTTTTGACCCAGCAAGCAACCGCAAGATTTGGATGTGGATGAGGATATGAATAACTAAATAAAAAAACATATTTGTGTGTGAAAACGACTATCGAAAGCAACTATAGCTCGAGCAAATATCTATTTTTAGGTTGCGTCCCCTTTTAACAATGATATACCTGCTGATTCCGAAACTTCCCCCCAAACTTTCTCCCATCTCCTGAGTTCGGTCACATCGATCCAACCTCCCCGTCGCTCTCCGATAGATTTCCTTCCTGGCCTGCCACCATTTCCTGCACACTAATCAAATATTCCTGCCGTGTCCCTCCTTTATCCTCCGGACGCTATGACTACACTCGTGCCTTTGAGCAAATCAGTAACGATTTCTCTTCATCCCCTGCTCCCAAACAGCTGAATTGCATCGCATTCAAATGGAAATGGCTCCGATTTACGGCGTTGCAAACAAACTGCTTTTTGCTGAGGTAAATTTGGCTCTCGCTCGGGATTGACCGGCCGTTCCGAGTTTTAATTCTTTGTGTAATGTTGGATGTAATCGGAGACATCGGCAGCAGCAGATGCACGGTTAATGTGATGCTAGTTTTATTGTTCCGGTTGTAGCGTCTTAACTCCAGGTAGTTCAACAAATGCACGGTGACGGTAAGAATACGCAATTACCCCGGGAAAGAACTCTTGCTAAAAGGGTCTAATACTGTTATACGCAATATCCTTCGTACTTTTCATTTAGGCGTGGAATAGATCGCCCTCTACCCAATTTTTATCCAGTCCAGAGCAATTACTTTTTCACAGACATCATAGCTTTTTTTGTGTTTTATTTTACTTTTTTCTCATTCTTCAGAGCTAGTTTACTCATTCTAAAAAAATAAAAATACATTGTTTATGACATGAGTCTGGTTATATCTGATAATGGAGCAATATTAGAATTCAAGTAGACTTCTGCTATAACCCAACAAAATGTTTCTCAAACCATCTCTTTGAGTAAGTAATCTTTATTTATATAGTGGTCGCCAGTACAGGAGGCGCATTGTACATGTTTTCAGTGGTAGGGGAAACCGGAGCACCCGGAGTAAACCTAAGCAGACACGGGGAAAACATGCAAACTCCACTCAGAAAGGCCCTGTTCTGACCGGGATTCGAACCCAGGATCTTCTTGCTGAGAAGCGAGAGTGCTATACCCACTCAGCCACCGCCCATAAAAGTGATTCACATATACTTGCCATTTGCAGTACAACCACCTTGGAAAAACTGTGCAAGACTAACCCAGTGTGCACCAGAGCTCGCAATTACTTTTTTACAGATATCATAGGGTTTTGTGTGTGTGTGTGTGTTTAAAAAAATGTGTATTTATACTCATACAAAAATAATAATGAGTCTGGTTATAGCTGGGTCTGTGACTATGATTGAACAATTGAATTCAAGTAGATTTTTTGCCTAATTCTTCTGCTGTAACCCAACAGAATCTCTCTCAAAGCATCTCTCTGATTCACATGCACTCTCCGAACGCGCTCCTTTGATTAGAAGTACAAAAACACCATATCCTAAACATGTCCTCTGCCACGCTGAACGTTAGAACATTCTGTCATTTCAACCCCAGCGGGCTAATTGCTGTCATTATTTGTCATTTGCGTAGCGATTATACCCCCGAGAAACAGGTGTAAACGCCCATGCCATTCCACATCACCCAAAAGCCATTTAGAAAGACCTTCATGAGGCAAAATTGTACAAAAGCCGACGTTTTAGCTCCGAAGGCGAAATGGCAGGAAGTGCGTACCCAGGAAAGTAACACAATACCCCGGCAGCTGGACGCGGGCAATTTGGTGATGAGTTTTAGCAAATATTTGAATAGGCATTGCTTTTAGTGAAATGGGGAGAGTGCAGGGGGAAATGGCTGCCAATATTGAAAAGTGAAAATGGGTTGAGGGAAAAGTCATTGTAATTTATGAGATCAAAGTTTGTAATTTCCCCACTGTGGGACAAATAAAAGAATCGTTCATTAATTCATCCATGTATTGTTTGATGAACCGTGTGCAATTCTTTGTGGGTGGGTTTCTTCTTTCTGATGGGATGAACTCCTGACTAAGCCGCTCAGACTCACACTAGGACAACCAGACTTTTGAAACTTACAGAGCCTTAATTTTGTCGTCTCCCATTCAAACCAATGGAAGCTTCTTGATCTACATGTTAGGAAGATCAAAAAAGTACATAAGCTGAGTATTTTTTCACTTTTGAATGCGCTGGAAAACGACTGTAGTCCTAAGTAGCTCTGAAACAGTTGTTGTTTTGTGCTTTCAAATTGTTATTTATCTTGTATTTTTCTACCTGAGATGTTGCTGCAGTACAGTGTTTATGGTTTTTCACTGGTTTAGACCAGAGCAGAGAGGATTCATGGTCCGAATAAAGCGGATCAGGCCAAAATCCACTGGAGGAATGCTAACTTTTTGAAAAATGCTAATGAAGAATTTAGCATTTTACTTTGGACCAGAACAGAGAAAATGGTCAGAACCAAGCGACTGCTCCACCTTGTGACCTGTCCTGCTCCACCCAGAGGGTACTCCACCTTGTGACCTGTCCTGCTCCACCCAGAGACTACTCCACCTCTGCTGCTGTGACCTGAAGGGCTGTGGCTGATTATTACTATTGTTAGCCATACGGCCTATGAACACAGCATCGGTTCCTGTAACAATGCTTCTTGTTATGTCCCTATCAAATAAACACATAATAGATAATAATAATAGCTTTTGAGAATGATTATTTTTTTTATTTTTGCTGCTACTTGACACCTGAAAGTATCTATCTATCTAATCACAAGGTGTCAAATTGACTGCTCTGGGCGTTCTCGTGTTAAAGTTGAGAAAGTTGAGAAAAGATGTGTCTATACCATGGGTGACCAAACCTCTTCATGTTCATATTGATTCACATTTTACAAATCAGAAGTTGGCTGAATGTCAGATGGTTACTCAAGATGTTTCTCACTCTATATGTTTGTCTATGTTGTGTGCCATGATCAAAATCAAATAGTCTTGGTTTTGGTTCTGAGCTTTACATACAGGTATAGCATGCCTGTATTGAAGTTGGCTGGATGATACTGTGGAGGATGACACTGTGGAGTGTAATGGTACTCTCTCTTTGCAAGGAAGAGGGCCATAGAACAAGTCACAAATGGCTATAATTGTCCATTTTTGCTGGACATTGGACATGTGGTTTTGTTCTAAACCTTCCCCAGTGACAAATTTGGATTTGATACATTTTTGAGAATTTAAATTATACAGTTTTTCTGCTGTTTTGGACAATGTCAGTGTACAGGGGCCCAATAGAGGATTAATGCAAAATTAGTTTAGGCCTTTTCCTCTGTCATGTAAGATTTAAAACTAGGGATAGAATATTCATTTAATGTAGCAAGGAAGATTATTTTTTCTATTTAACTTTCGAAAAGTGGCAGAACACTTTATTCTGGGGTGGAGATGTACCATCCAGCCAGAAGTTGACTCTGACCTTAAAGCTGGAGCCACAATGGAATGGTAAACACTGATAGTTGAGAATCGTTTGGGGGGTGCACTAAAAAGGGTGTGTTGAGGGTGTGTTATTCCAGTAGTTTCCTCTTGGTTGGACTAACAAAGCTGGAGGATTTTATCTATGGTGGGGGAAAACAGAGCACCCGGAGGAAACCCACCCAGACCCAGGACGACCTTCTTGCTGTGAAGCATGAACACTACCCGCTCTGCCGTCCTGCACACACTGTGGGAACATGGCCGACCGCTCGAAAGGGGACGATTTTGCATAATATGAAACTGTTCCATATCTTTCAAAGCAAGACTTCCAACACCCCATGTTCCTCGTCTATCACTCCCAAACAGCTGCTGCCAGCACCTGCAAGCCAAGTCACTTCTGCAGGGCGCAAGTTCAAGACACGCATTCCGAAATCGCAATCAAACACAACAAGCCGAGGGGGTGGGTGACGGAATGCAAATGTGGCGAGGTACGAGACATGCAAATGACAAAGTTAAGTAAGGCGGATCGCAGGCGTTCCAAAGGTAATGGCGGCTGAAAGAGCTCGCCGGGAGAGCTTTGTGCGCCAAATGGAAGTGTCGGCGGGTGGCGGAGGGAGCGGTTTCACAGGCGCAGGAGCAGAGGTGTCTGACAGTAATGAGGGGTGACTAAGGAGAGGTGATAGGCAGACGAAAGAGTCGAGCTATGAGGAGGAGACGGGGACATTTCTAAATAGATTAGATTAGGTAAGGTATAATGTCTGCGTTTATGTTCATCAACCAAGCGGCATGAGCTATATACTATTGATGATACATTTTATATAAATGGCGGATTTCTGGGCCCTCAAGGTCCCATTACAGAAGATACAAAGTGATCAAAGCTAATACGATATGAAAAAGGCAAACTCTACGCTGTGACTTTTCAGCATTAGGTCTGAATTACAATCCCAAAAAGGCCATTGAGAATCAGAATCAGAATTTTTTGCCTTTGTAAGAAACAGGAAGTCACAAACTAGGAATTAGCTTTTTCTCGATCTAAAAATAGATATAAGGCATGCATAAAAAAATCCACAAAATCTACTATACACAAGTGCTCTGAGAACACACAATATACGCATTAGATTATTACTGCGCACACATCTGAAAACAGTAGTCTGATCATGATACGCCTTTACATGTGTTGGATCAAAATACATCATTTTGACGGAATTGTCTCAGAATTCCTTGCATTGTAAAGACAAATGTTATCTTCTTCGATTGTGCCGCCCACAGTGGCCCTGAAAAGGCCTATTCACACTCCATGAGACGTGAGAGCAAGAATAAAGCTCGTCTTCTGTTTGTGCATCTATACTTCAGAACTGCGCAGCTGAACACCACAAAGCGGCATCACACTGCAAAATAAGAACACTTGTAGAAAACTAAATAAAACACATCGATCAATACTTCGTCTTCAGGTTTAATCATTAGAAGAAGTGCTTTCATTGGTCGACTTGTAGCGTCCTTTTCTGTGGTAAAACTCCTACCACTTAAAACATGTACAATAGTCCCCTGCACTGAAACGCATTAGATGAAGAATATCAGGTAAAACCAAGATGGACTTATAAAACTATAGACAGGAGACCCATAAACTGTTGCATTTCCAAGCAACGTAACTTTATGGGGGAAGTGATCCTCTCTGTGCTTGTTTGTCTTAAATTGCTGCAAGTGGAAATATTATGTTTTTGGAATTTGCGAGTTGAAAAAGCTGGTGCTACAGGAGCTAGCTTTGTTTTGCATTGATACAGCGCATCACACAAAGGTCACACAAAGAGCTTTACCATTTAGGTATTTTCAAAACCTGCACAACACCGACTTCCATTGGGGGGTAATTTCATTGTGTAATTTGTGTGTTATAAGAAACTGTAGCACCCGGAGGTAGGAGGTGAACATACAAACTCCACTTAGAAAGGCCCTGTTTGGCACAGTAATCTAACCCAGGACTTTCTCGCTGTGAACTACAAGCATGTATCATCAATGTTCTCTAAAGGGATTGGAAGAAGTTTGCACAATTAGTGTCTGATAAAGTCAAAACAATGACAATCAAACTGTTTTTGCCAGAATTATCCTGCCTCTAACATGTAGCTCATACTGTATGTAGCACTGGTTACTGATGCAATCCACCTGCTGGGGTTTATTTGGGTCATTTCCAACTAGATCTAAACAACGAGAATGCTGACACACATCGTCACCGGTGTCGAGCAAATATTGGATTGCATGTTTTGAGCAATTCATAGATTTAAAATGAAAACATGTGTGCTGTCAAATATTTCCCTTTGACACCACAATATGACATGTAGAAGATAAGACAAACTTTGTTGATCTCACAATGGAGAAATGTCCGTGTCACATTTGGCATAAATAGAATCACTCGGGTTGTGCAAAAGACAGGAAGTGTGCAAACATGTTAAAAGGTTAAAAAAAAATAGTCTCTTTTGTGGAAGATCAATCATGCACAGTACAATTAAAAGTGACTATAGCAGTGCAACTTTTTCAGTCCTTGTGCAGGGGATTAAGCGACTCATTGTACACTTCAATCAGACATTGTCAGACTTTTGCTGCAATCCTGATGAAGCTCCAAACATTGATCCACGCATCGGACACCAACATGTGCAACTCCACTTCCCTACATTCCATCAGCGACTGTCATCTCCACACTCCTGCACACTGCTCCCGTTGGCCTTTGCGGGCTAATACATTCATAATCACCCAAGCTGTCTCCGCCTGGCGCTTGCGTCCCACCGTATTGTCGCTTGTGTCGGCAGAGTTTCTGAGCGACCGCGGAATCAGAGGAGCAGAAACCAGCTCGGCTTTCGTTTCGCGGCTCGGATCCGTGTTCTCCAGGAATGAATCGGGCAGGCAGATAATGAGGTCCCGGAACGGCGAGTGCCATAGATGTGCGGAGAATTTTTTATTTTTTTTTCTCCTCTGATGGATCGGTGGGACGGTCAGGCGGGCGGAGGCACAGAGGACATGGAGGATGTTTCTGATCTGACATCTGCCAACAGCTCTGGGTGAACGTGTAAACTCGCCAAACAGTGTTTTCCAGCAGACATATCATAAATGCTTAAGTTTAGAAGGGTGGAAAAGTATAGGGTTTGGGGTTAGAGCAGCGGTGGGCAATTATTTTCTTACGGGGCCACATTGAGATATCGTTCTATTGTGGAAAGCCGGACCTAGCCTGGTCTTACCATACCATCGTTCTCATTTCATTTCGTACAAAGGTCTGGATTTGCTCCATCGAGCTCCATGAACAGGTGTGAAGGGTAAACTTTTGCAGATTGAATTGACTGGATCTGAGTTTACCATGTCCTTTGCCACTAACGTCTTTGCCAGCAATGAAACTTGTTAAACATTCTTCTTGTTACGGCTTCAATTCCTTGATATTTGGAGCTGAACCAGAACAGATTACTTTACTATTTTATTCGCAAATTTGGCGCAAACTCTTGATGCTCGCTGAATGGTTGAATGGGATACAACCGAGGTCACCGCAGTCATTAAGATCAGACCCAGACGTACCTGCAGGTGAATAATAATTTATCAGAGTTTACAGATGGCTAAGGCCAGACCAGGCTGGACCCAATTTCACGTGATTATTTTCTGACTTAAAAACATTTTGGATTAATTAATTAAATGAAATAACATGAAATTGCCCGCGACCCGGCAACGGATGAAGCGGAAGAAAATGGATGGATGGATAATTAAATGAAATAACATAATGAGTGTGTTGAGTGCCATAGTAGCACATTAATACAAACCTTCTTTAATGAATCTATACCCAATTATTATTATTATTATTTTATGAGTTCATAAAAATGCTTATTACTACACACAAGTTGTATTATAATCCGTAATGTAATGTAAAACTTGAGCTCATTGATTCAGCTGTGTATGAACTCAGGCGTAAAAAGTGCTGAGTAGAGACTTAGCGTGACGCCCGCTCTCCTCCAATCACAGAACGAGGCTGCGTCCTCTAGCCTCTACAGCGCTGCTAACCACAGTAGCATGTTAGCATAAGTGGATATAACTCCTCTGGCTGTAACTGCAGACACAGCAAAACAGCCCGAACGATGCAAAAGTGAGGAAGAGAAGAGGGAACTAAAGCCAAAAAATAATCAAAGAATAAATCAAGCCCGGGTGAACATAGCTAGCTTACTTTGTATCCTCTGGAGAGACGGAGAGACCTGCGGGACCGCCTCGGACTATCTATGCTCGGACTATCTATGCTCGGACTACATTGGTACGCAAAACTAGCGGTAATCTTTCAGTTTTATATTTTCTTAGCAATGCGTTGCTTTTGTACCATTTCATCAGTGATTGTTGTACAGCTAAGGTGGCTCATGCTGATGTTTACATACTATATATGTATCAGATCGCAAATAAAACTAGAGGGCTCCGAGGGATGAGAGCGTAGAGGGAATGAGAGACCTGCGAGTTTAAACATTCAAATCTTGCAGAAACTGGTATAGCTCCTTTAAGTATTGACTTCTGATTCATTTAAATAAGTAATGGACTGGTTACAACTGGGAAGTGTCCGGGGTCAGCATAGAAATGTGAATCCGGCCGAATAGAGTAGGGAGTAATGAATTAGTACAGGTCTGGGTCTCCTGTAGCGAGATATGTATCACATCAGCAGGCTCTGAAAGATTCCCAGGCCCTATATGAAAGAAAAGAAGATCCTTCAGAAAATTCAGAGTGGGGAAATAACTATGCAATAAAATCCACCTAACTGTCAAAACCACAGTGGGTGACAATCTGACATGAGTCCAAACAACACACCAACCTTTGTCAACGCAACATTCCAACAAACTGAAGTGTCATGGGTAAAATAAATTGCCTGACCCTAAACTTTTCCCTTAATTATTATTACAAATTAATATTCATGCGGTGCTCTCTAAAGAACTGTTTTCACTACATGTTTTAAATGCCAAAATGCTACAATAAAAGAAGTTTCGTGACAAAAAAAAAGCTGTGAAAAACATCTATTCTTTGATAATTACACACTACATAACAAACGCCTCCAGCTTAAAACAAAAAGGGAAGTGACATGTCAGTACAAGCCAGCTAGGAATAAAAACATCAAGAAATGTACCAATTTGTGCATAAAGAGCTTGTCACAATGGCCCCAGCGTGGATAAATAATTGACTGCATTTCTTAAAAGAGAATGCATAATAATCTACTGCAACGGAATATAATTGAACAAAGGTTAATTAGCAACAAGTCATGCATTTGATTATTTTGATTCACAAACACTAATTATCTGCTTTTTCAATCTGGGGAAAGCATGGAGCGGAGATTGCATTTTTGTAAACTGTCTGAGAACGTTTATGGCTTTAGGTTTTAACCATGTTATAATGTCTCCTCATCAGACATGCCCTCCGTTTGAAAGCATTCAATTTATTTTTATATAGCCCTAAATCACAACAGCAGTTATCTCCGAGGACTTTACAATGCCGTTGATTTGCCGACAAAGTTCAAACACAAGAACGATGTTGATTCAGTCCAAAAATGTGTCTTGTATCATCACCTTTGTCCTGCATCGGCGAGGAACAACTATAAATTCCTACCCTGGTCGTACCACACCACAGTACAAATTACATTTCTTACTAAGGTCTGGATTTGCTCCATTGACTCCGTGAACAGGTGGGAGGGGTTAACTCCTTTTGCAGATTGAAACGATTGGATCTGAGTTTACCGTGACGTATGTAGTGCGCCTGAGTCTGTTCTTAGCATTTAGCCTAGTTTTAGCCATCTCCTTTGCCGCTAACGGAGCCCGTGGGGAGTAGCGCCACAATTTTTTCCAGCGATTACATTTGCTAAACATTCCTCTTGCTCTGGCTTCAGTTTCTTGTTAGAACCAGACCAGATTACTTTACTATCGCATTTTTCGCCATTGCCAAACTACAACCTGCCCGTTCGACGCAAACTCTTGACATCACCCACAACTAACTACAACACCCGCCTCCAGCGCTCTCTGAATGGTCAGTCGAAATTCAACCGATTGTATTCGCAAACACAGGGACCAGACCCAGACGTTACATGCAGTGAAATGATGATTGAACAGAGTGTACGGATGGATAAAGCCAGGCTAATAAAAACCCAGAGGGGAGAAAATGAGAAACCTCGGAGAAGCCCACTTGAATGGAGGGATTCGCTTCCACGAACTAACTCAGGTCGTAGAATGGGGGTGCGGCCTCCGAACCCGATGGAGGAGGCCGGATTCAGGGTCCCATCATCACACCATGAAACATACGATGGGACAGCAGGTGAATAGAAATGATGATGATGATAAAGTAGGAAGAGACTAGTGCTCAAACTTCCATACTCCAGGAAATTCCATCTACCACAGGGTCACTATCTATCTTTCTATCCTCTCCAGTATTTTGCCTAGTTCTATTTCAGTCCTCTGCACATTTACAGCTCTTCAATTATAGCCAGACACACACAAAAAAACGTTGTTATCAGCCAGATCACGATCAGCCAGATATTCTCATCTTTCTACAGGTGTAGCACAAATACAAGGGATTCTCCAGAATGAACTTTTTCTATCAAACAAATGCACATCCGTCATATCAAATCAACTTTATAAATACGTTTTCAGAAGTATTTTAGACCCACTGTAGTCTCGCTGATGTCAGTATAACGTTTAACAGCACTTTGTTTTCACATGGACTCCACATGACTGATTTACATACAGGATAAAACACCCATTCGTATAATGGCCTCATGCAGCAGCTGCTTCTCTGCTGTCGAGGCAAAAGAACAGGATTTAGTTTAACACAATGGACTTCATGCATGACTCAGGACACGCACAGTGAGACATATCAAGCCTTTATTTGTTATAATGTTAATAATTGGCTCACAGCTTGTAAAAAATAACAAGCAAAACAGCTTTGAGCATTATAGAATTTGACTGTAAGCCATAATCTTTGAAATAACAACAAACAAAGGCATGTGTCACTCAGATACAGAAAAAAATACCTGTGGAAGGACGGTTGGTGGAAGGTGTTTCGCTGCTATCTCTGTCTGGTCGAGAAAATATCTGTCATTTTCAGATGGAGGGCAGGAATTGTCTTGAGTTCTGTCCACAGGAATATCAGGGACTTCTGGCATGAATGAAATGATTGATATTTATCTCAAATGGTTTTGTTTTGCTCATCGCTGGCATCAACATCTTCTTTGGTACGAGATGATAAAGAGTGGTGTTTGTTGTAGAGCTGAAACAGTTCATTGTTTCGCTCAAATTTGTTGATTAGAAAATTGTTTGATTACAATTCCTTTGCAGCAATTATTCAGATTTTGTTCAAACTGACTTTAAAACAGCTCTGCTTGTTACAAGTCTCTCCATGGCCTCGCACCAAAATATATTAGTGACATGTTAGTGACATATGAACCAGCCCGGACTCTGAGGAGCACAGGGACTGGACTCCTGCTGGGACTCTGAGGAGCACAGGGACTGGTCTCCTGCTGGGACTCTGAGGAGCACAGGGACTGGACTCCTGCTGGGACTCTGAGGAGCACAGGGACTGGACTCCTGCTGGGACTCTGAGGAGCACAGGGACTGGACTCCTGCTGGGACTCTGAGGAGCACAGGGACTGGACTCCTGTTAGTGCCCAGAGTCAGAACTAAACATGGGGAGGCTGCTTTTCAGATTCATGCTGCTAAAATCTGGAACAGTCTTCCTGAAGATGTGAGACAGGCCTCCTCTCTGACAATGTTTAAAACCAGGTTAAAGACAGTTCTGTTTAGCTGTGCTACAACTGAGGGATTTTATATTTTTATCTTTCTTTTTAATGCTCTCTGATTATTTATGATTTTAATGCTTTCTTGTTTTGTTCAGCACTTTGAATTGCCTTGTGTATGAATTGTGCTATATAAATAAACTTGCCTT